TCCAAGGGAAGGTCTGACTCACTTTACTTAGAAACACAGTCTTCTATGCTACACATCTACTGATAGTGCCCAACCTCCTGTCCAACTCCTTTTCAGCTGTTTCAATATTATTTTAAACACAATTCGAAAAGCAAGGTTGGCATGCTGCAAACTCCCAGCCTCCAGAAGCATCTTGTTTCTAATAACATTGATGGATTCCAGAGAGACCCCACTCATATTCCTGATAGTAAAAATGCTTCATAATAAAAATGGAACCTGATGATAGATAAAAGGAAGAACTTCTTTACATATTATATTTAAAAGATGGATTTCCCCCCATGTTTTATATAATGTTGGTTGCCAACATTAGATTAAAAGGTAATTGTACGATTCAGAAGCCATCAAAGGTACTATTTTGGATAAATACACAGCACCTCAAATATTCATGGCAATATGCCAATATAAGTTAATGCGGGGCATACAGCAAAGATTGCTATTACCCACATCCCCCTGGCAACTGGTTGGTCAAAGGAGGAACTAAGCGCTATGAGATCTTTAAACAAGAAGAGCTATTCTGAATCTGACCTATAAAAAAGGTCTACTGACATCTATTTACCTTTCAAACAGAATTCTTAATAACTTGATGTCCAAATTTGTGAGAAAGAGAGAGACTCTGGAAGGGAAAACCAAGGTGAAAAGGAATTGATTTTTCAGGGGGATCTCTCTATACTCAGCATACAGTCCCTTGACCTGTGACCCTTCATGTTAGGGATTCAACTTAGCACCCCTGTCAAACAGAAACCCCCAGATGTTACAATTTCTTCACCTTAAAGCAGATATAGGTCTACGCTGCAAAAGGGGTATGGGCTCTTTGACCGGTTTCTAGACATTATTTAATGCATTTTATTATATTATATATGCCTAAATTGTTTATAATTTACATACTTTCTATTGTGCAGAATAAAACAAGGTAACATTTAAAATGTAAGACAATTATTGTAAGACAATTGCCAATACCTCTGCAATAAATATTACTAGAAAAAAAGGTAAATATCAAATGGGAAGGAAATAATGTGTTCAGTACTATAGTAATCAATTCATCTATCTTCTATCTATCTATCTACTAGTAAAACTCTCATTGTGTTTATCTGTTTGTATCCTCAAGTTAGCCCAAACAATGCATTATTTATTTTATTTTATTTATTATTAAACTTGTATGCCGCCCATCTCCCCCAACAGGTGACTCTGGGCGGCTC